AAGTACATAAATAAGTGGAACAAATCTCTCTCTCTCTCTCTCTCTCTCTCTCTCTCTCTCCCCCCTCTTCCTCTCCCTCTCCCTCTCTCTCTCAAATATCAATTAAAAAAAGAAGCTCCTAAATGTTTTCTCATACACCATTGCAGAGTCTAGATATGAGTTCACCACATAACCTTGAACAAGGCTCTTCATACATTTGCACCTCACTTTACTCATCAAAAAAATTCAGTCAATAAATAATTTTGTGCCTCTTGTTTAAAGCATATGCTGGGCTAAAACAAGAAGGTAGAACCAGGTGGCCTCTCATGTCCCTTCTGGGTTCAGTGGCCTGAGATCCACAGCCCCTCCCACAACCTCTCAGACTCCCTCTGTGGGTAACACTGGAGGAAGCAAAGTGAGAGGAGTGGTGGACTCTCGCCCAGGAACCCACAAGCTCAGGAAGCTCTCCAGAGGTACCTGCTCCCCAAGAAACGAGACAAACCACATTCTGCACCATTTAGCTTTATCGGAGCCCTTGCCCTATAATATGCAGACATGGCCAGCCGAGTGAATCAGAGGAGTCTGGGAACTTTTATGATCTGAACAAAGGAGATAGTTATTTGATGGGAATGGAGGAAAAAGAGCAATGTCCTGAACACAGCTGACTCTCTTCTACTGACCCTGTGTAATTACACCTTGGCTCCCAATAATGACAGCTGCAGAAATCTAAAATCTTAACTCTCAGGTGACATTAAATCAGATTAGCTCCAATCTTGCTGGAGGGCTGGGGATGGTTAGAGAAACTAGTGACCTTATCATAAGATGTGGGGTGAGAAAATCTCCCCATAGCTGTCCAAGCCACAGCCCCAGATACTGGGCCACTATGGTTGATTTTTGAGAGGTCATACCCCAAATACTCCCACTCTGCACCTAGGAAAACTTAGGTCACCTAAGGTCATTCAGCCACTCAGCTAGGCCACCACCACACACAGAAGACAGAAGATGTATCTTCTGGTGGATTATAACCTAATAAAGGAGGAAGAGCTCCACACACATGCCATCTACACACTTACAAAGTTACAAAGATACTCTGGCTAATCATTCATGATCATATATAGTATCACAGTATGTCAAAGCTGGAATGGCTCCAACTGTTTCCTAGTCTAACTTTCCTATCTTAAAAATGATAAAAGTAAGGCCAGAGAGGGTCAGGGACTTACCTGAGGTCACACATCTTTTTAGGGACAGAGCCAGGTCTCCAGATCCTCTGTGTAGTATATTGTCTACTGAATCACAGTGAGTAGAAATGCTTAAGTCAGAGTCTGAGTGTTAGTGAGGGGGTTGAGGAACAGAGTGAAGAAGATGGAACAAGAACTAGAGGAAAACAGGACGGATTCATGAAGGATGTGAATCCTGGATAGGTTCAGATTATACTCCATTCTGTAAGCAGCTTGATGGCCCTAAGTGTTGGTACATATGTTCTCTAATTTATTTCTCACAAGAAATCTGTGAAACAGTGTTATTGCCTCTCAACAAGAGGAAATTGAGGCTCTGGAAGTCTAAGAAACTTACCCAATATTACACATACTCTACATGTAATAGGTAAGTGAGATCCTGAGTCTACCTCTTTTTTAATGCATTTATAAAGCTGGTCTTTGACTGAGGAGCTGATATGATAAAAAAAAAAAAAAAGTATATAACTTACATGAAGGAGCACTAATCTGGGTTTTTACTTTATATAACTTTCCTCCTCTGAAGTTTCCAAGAGCTTTAGACATTGGAAGGTATATTAATTTTCCACTGCTACTGTAACAAATTACCACAACTTTAATGGCTTAAAGCAATGGAAATTTTTGTCTTATAGTATGGAAGTCAGAAGTCTGATATAGGTCTCTCTGGGATAAAATCAAAATGCCAGCAGAGCTGCATTTCTTTCTGGAAGTTCTAGGAAACAATCTGTTTCCTTGCCTTTTCCAGCATCTAGAGATTGTTCACATACCTGGCTTGGGGTCTCCTTCCAACTTCAAAACCAGCAATGGCTGGTCAAGGCTTTCTCATATCACATGACTCTGACACTGACTCTTTTGTGCTCCTCTCCTCACTGGACTTTGTGATTACATCAGGCCCACTTCAATGTAATCAGCTCAATGTCAGACAGAGCCCTCTGTGAACAGTTGCACTCTGGGCTCTTCTTAGCTGTGTTCACCTTCCTCCATGAGAACATGACCTGGTGTCTCCACTGTTCTGCACTTCCCTATTTGGTCTCTGTCTCCTTCTCCTTAGGCTCAGCCAAAGACACTGAAATGTCTGTAATATGAGCAAGAAACTAAAAATCTCAACCAATCATGTCTCCTTTTCCAATCTCTTCCCACCACTTTCCTGAATCAGCCTCAACCTCTCCTCTCCTCACAACCCAGGAAAGGGGAGTGGGATACACTTGACCATCCTCTTTGCCTGGGTAATTCTTACTGTCCAGTAAAACACAGTCCAGACATCTCCCCCAGGAGCTTAGAAGGGCTTTCCACACAAGACTAATGAAGGGGCTTTCAACTAGGATGTGAGGGCTTACCTCTGCCTATCTTCTCAATGAGACCATAAACCCCTTGAAAGCAGGGGCATGAATGATTGAAATAAAAAAATGAATAAACCTAGTGATATAGAATTTCTTGCCTTTTAGGGCTCTGGAAGATTGCTTTGTCTCATAGACAACATTCCACAAAAAAGATGAAAGACATGAAGGAGAAGGTTAAGGTTTAAAAAAAAAAGGAGGAGAAGGAAAAGGGGGAGAGTCCCCATTCTATACCTGTTTCCAGATCCCCCAGATGATGTTGTCACTAAAGATTCACCTGTGGGTGGGTCTTCCAAATTTCTTTCATCCCACATAGCCCCACTCTTACTCCAACATCCAGAAAATCATGTCCCTCACAGGAACATTAGCATAACTGCCCTGGGTCAGCCCCTGACCTCTCCCCAACACAGGCATCTGCTTCTTACAAGGACAGTGAGGGCTCATGGTGGTGCTGTGTCAACCCTCTGTGCATCAATCCTAAAAGCCAAAAGATCACCTGATCTCCTTCAACTCACCTTTTAAAAACTTTTTTGGGATCAAGTATTCCTAAACTGTATACCTTTGAAGAATTTTCTGATTTCAGCCAAACACCTCTTTTAGGAAATGACCTAAACATACCTCTTCAAGTTAAGAGGGCCATCATCATCCTTAAAGTCCCTGAAATTTGGTCAAATGTAGCAAACAAGTTCAAGGCCACCACTTGGTGGTTTAAGGACTTCTTTCATAATGAATAATTTCCCACTTTCTATTACATGAGATCCTCCTCTACTCTCAGTTGTCTCTTGCATTCACCTTTTTCATTCCTTAATTAATGCAGTTACTCCATCAATAATCATTTGTCTTCTATTTCTGTATCTATGGCACAGCCTCTACCCTCTCTGAACTTACAACCCAGGGTAGTGATAAGGTCTTGTACATAAATAACTGTAATTCCTACTAACAATAGTAAATGTTCATATAAATAGCACAGAAAAGAGATATTATGAGAGTTCAGAAAGAGATGAAGTCATTTCCTGCTTTAGAGTAACTGGGAAAGGCTCTTGGAAGGTTGTAGACTTGAGTGGAACCTTGATGAATGCTTAGGATTTCAACAGGCACAGGGAGGGAGGGCAAACAAGATAGAACTGACAGTCCAGACAGAGACATAGCAGTAGAGAAAACTGGGTGTGTTTGCTTTGAAACTTTTCCTTTCATCTCTTGGCTTTTATTGACCCAAGTTCTATGAAAAGTTTTTCCAGAAGGCAAGGAGACAGCCTAGCCTTGTTCAATCCTGTTTTCTTGGTCACTATAAAAACTCTATAACTCCACTTTTAGAACTGTCATAAACCAAGGTTGAGAAAAATGAAGATTACCTGCCTTCTCCTTCCTGTCTCTTCTCCTCCACCTTACTTCACAACCCAAGAGAGTAGCAAAAGACTACAATTTCCCTCAAGATCTCTGTGCAAGAAAATCACTCTCTCCAGGAGGCTGTGGGTCTTTTGTTAGCCTGGAACCACGAGGTAATGTGTCCTCCCTGGGTTTAGAAGTGTGACTTTCCAGGTTCATTGAAGACACATTCATTCTGAAAGAGGCCGTAAATTCCCTTGACCCAGACAGACCCCAGGCCTTAGGCATAGAGTCTTCCCATTAGTGAAGACGAGATGAGCAAGCTGGATCTTATCTCTCACCACATCCTGAACCAGTTTGGGCAGACAATGAACCCAATCCTAGTTTAACAGACTGAGATAACGTTTTATGAACATTCTTTTGCTGCTGCTTCTAATGAGAGATCTGAGAGGAGCCCCTCCCTGCTGAGGTCTGCTGAGGACCCAGAGGCCAAAATGGAGGCTGATTAACAGGCATCCCAAGCAGTGACTCAAACTATGGGCAGTTTCAGAAGAAGCTCATTATGGTAGCTCCATAATTAGGACCTCAGCTCACGTGGCCAGTCATTCCTGTGGAAGGCTGGACCAAGCACTGTATAAAAGTCCCTACCTCTCTAGACACTGCAATCCACATTCTTTGAGCCTTGCTGAAGATCAGGTAAGTGGGGCCCTCTGTCCCCAGCTGCTCTCTCTCTGGGAGGCTACTATTCTCTTCCTCTACTGGTCAGTGCTTTCCATGGATTTTTGTAGTGGTTTGTCATTTCTTGGGCCTCTCAAACCATCCTGTGTATTCTCTCTAGCCTCTTGCACCTCATTTGCAAAAAAAGATTAGTCAAATAGAAGAGGGGAAAAAGACTTGCAGTAAGACTGGGATTTGGGGTAGGACTGGGCTATGGATATTCAGACAAGAGAAACTGGAATATTCCTCCTAGAAGATGGGCATCAAAGGGAGCTGGAATAGAGATAGAAAAGAGAAAGGGATAATAAACAGCAGGAAAATGGGTTCTTAGGGTTAACAGTAACTCATTCTCCATTCCCTTCTATTAATCCTTCATCTACCAGTCCCCAGCCTGGCACTGTTAGTGCAAATAATTTCAAATTTTGTGTTTGTTCCAGGTTCTGCAAATTGCACTAAGATGTCCTTTAATGAGCAGCAGTGCAAGCAGCCATGTGTGCCTCCTCCATGTCTTCCAAAGACCCAAGAGCTATGCCTGGCAAAGGCTGAGGAGGTGTGCCTCCCTCCATGCCAGGAGAAGTGCCCAGTGCAAGCTCAGGAGGTGTGTCTTCCTCAGTGTCAGGAGTTAAACCTAGAAAACTGTCCACAGCAATGCCAAGATCCATGCCCACCTCCCTGCCAAGACCAGTGTCCACCTCAATGTGTGGAGCCGTGCCAGGAGCTGTCCCAGACAAAATGTGTGGAGGTTTGCCCACAGAAAATCCAGGAGAAGTGCTTACCCCCTGGCAAGGGAAAGTAGCTGCTTTCATAATGCCACCTAGGGTCAAGAAGATGGCCAACGGATGAAGACCCAACCCCAGCCTGTGCTCTGGTGACCTTCTCCTGTGGGTACCTCTGTGCGCACCTGTTCTTGCCTCCTGGTTTTCTCAGTATTCCAGGACCTGGTCTGTGTCTCTAAGGACGGTTCTCTCTGCATTTCATCAACCTTGGTGAATAAGTATTTTTTTTTCAGTGGTTTTAGTAGAAGGGCTCAGAAGACTAGTTCAGCTCCGTTGGGGCAAAAATTCACCCCGCCCTGAATGTGTAACAGCCAAGGATATCTGCATTCATTTTTCAGAATGTCAGCCTCTCGCTGAAGCCTCAAACCAAGCTGAATTTAGTGAACTTTGTACTTAACTACCACCATCCAGGGTGTGGCGAAGAGATTTGGTGGTATTATAAAATTAAAAATTGGGTAATTTTTGCTCTGCATTCTAAAAAAGGACTGCAAATAATTGGATGTTGTAATGTTGATTGTGCTTTAAAAAAATAAAACAAATGCATGTAAATGATTGAATTCAAATGGCCAATAAGGAAAGAAGAGATTGGGTGTTTGGGGTCCTGGTTAATCTTTGTGCTTCATGGCTGGTCTGTTTTGGGCCCGCACTTTCGGCCACATACATTCTTTACTGGTGTGATGTGTGTCTGTGTGATGGAGGCTGGTGTGCTACCCAGCTGCTTTGCCTTCTTCTCCCTGGTGAAGGTGAAATACAGAATAAAGCTGATCCTAAGCTGATACCTGACTCATGTGCTCTCTCCTCTTCACTGCCCAAACACCTGCTGTCCTTGTGATGATATGTTCTCCCTTTTTTTCCCTTTTTTTTGGAGACTCTGGAGTAGGAATAAAAAACAGACCTCACAGCAATGCTGAAAGAGGCCCCCATCAGGGGCACCTGGACCTCCCCTCCCCCACCTACAACCTAGAGGCTCATTTTTGCACACACTTTCCACTGAGAAAATCCAGCAGGACCTGGGACCTGCGCACACTCAAAAGTTCAGGTCCAAGATACTTGCCAGGACTGCATTTTTTTTTTCTCTGGCCCTTACTTTCCAGAGAAAAGGGCCAAAATGGGGCAGAGGAGAATGTATAGAACAGAGGGTCCCCAGTCAATCCATGACACCTCCAAACATAGCACCCCTGTCAAAAGTACCTCTGAGATGAATGTAGACTAGGGGGCCAAAATTGTCTGCCTGCCACCAGATTTCAGGAAAGTCAGGCAGCCTGATTCACTTCCCTTTTCCCTGTTGCCCCTCCACACAGAAGGAGCACAAGGCTGGTGGCCCTGGAGTTGTATGAAAAGGCTGAAGGGAAGCAAGAATTACAGGAAGGAAACAACGGCTTCCTCAGCTGTGCCCTGGCCCCAAAGGCTTGTGTCAAGGGGGGGAAAAGGTGCTCCCATTCATTCCCCTGGGTCCCCCTCCCCATTCAGCCCACAGGTGTGTGCCCTAACCTCAGGGCCATCCAGCCCTGGGACTGCCCCAGTCTCTCTCAGAGATTTTCTAAAGCGAGAGAGAGCCAGGGGATGACTTGGGGGCAGATTTCAAGTGGCACCACAGCGCCCTCAGGCATTCACTGAGTCTGCAGGTGGCACGTGTCAGCCCCTGAGCTCTGTGCACATTCTGAGGGAACCCCAACAGCAACCCCAGGCGGCTGATGTGTTGTGTCTTTGTTAAGGAACTGGTCTGGCCTCACAAAGCCAGTAAGTGGTGAAGTCAGGATTCCAACCGGAGTCCCTCTGGACTCCAGCACAGAGCTCTAACTTGCATGAGGAAGTGTCCATGGCGCCTAGAAAAAAGATTTCCAGAACGTGTCTTCTTATTCATTCATTCACTGCCTCACAAGTGATCACTGGTCACCTCACAAGTGCCAGGCGCTGTTCCAGGTGCTGGAGAGGTAACAGTGACCCAGGCAGGCAGTGTCCGTGCACAGAGATAGAGTTTCTTTCCACAGGTCACACCAAACCTTCCCAAAACCTCCTGAATATCTGAAGTCCCTGAACATCTCCAGGGGCCTGAACCACAGTTCTCTTGCCTCCCTGCCTGGTTGGAATCTTCCCACTTTGGCGTGAGCCAGCTGCGCCCCAGGGCCCCAGCCTGCAAAGGGTCCCTGGAGATCTTTCCCAGCGATGCAGCTTCTGACCCGGCTGAGGAAGGCTCACAGATACATCTCCATCCTGGCTCAAGCCCAAGAAATGTCTTTGCTCTCCAGCAGTAAAGCATGCACAGATTGGAGTCCAAGGTCAGACACTCACATGCCGAGAGGAAGCATGAGGCTGCTGAGCAGGGTGTTCGGCCATGTCGGAGAAAGGATGGCCCATGATTAAGGGGGAGGCTTCAGCAGATGGGAAGGAGACAAGCCTGCAGATTACAGGTCGGGGAACAGACATCAAGGAGCCAGCAGGCCTTCCTCAAGCTCTGTCCCGGGAACCACCACACCTTCCTCATGCTCACACAGCTCTGACCCAGCCCCTGCCTGCACTGCTGCTGCTGGGACCAGGGCCCTAATGACACAGGTTTGGCCGTGGGGACAGTGAGGACCAAGCACAAAGCAGCCAGACTCTCCCAGCTGTGTGTATCTGTGCTTTCCGAAAGGCGGGGAACAGCATTGTCAAAAAGAATACCAGAAGTTAGAGGTTCTAGTTGACAACTGTTAGAGAAAAAAACAAAAATGGAGGCCATAATTTGACTATACCCCTAGACCAAACACCTATAGCCATGTAAAAAAACTTAAAGCTATTCTGATTTCCCTGAAGTGTTGGCTCTGAATGTAAGTGAAATAAGTTTTCCTCGACTCAGCATGACCTCATAGCTTCCTAGCCAATCAGCTACAAACGAAGCTTATCTGGTACCCAGTTGTAACAGAGATGTACGTACTTCTCGTCATGCTTTATTAAACCAGATGATAACCCTCAGTTTCTGAGCCTCCTGCCACTTTCAGCTTGAAGTCTCCCAGCTTTGTGAACTTTATTTTTTGCATGCACAATAAACTTTTAATTTTTCTCCAACTTGATTTGATTTCAGTGTTGACACAGCTAACTCAATATATAAGAATGGACTTCTGGACTCCATGTCCCAAGAGGAAAAGATGCAAACTGACAGGAGTTTTAAGGAGGGTGCTGAATTTACCCTTTCATTCAGTAGATTCAGGAGAACACACTATGCACAGGCACTGTGCCAGGCTCTAGAGACCTGGTAGGGGGGAGTCTGTGGTAGAGCTGTGGCCTGAGACTTTCATATCAGAAACTGTTAAAATCTACTTAGTCCAGAGAAGAAAATACCAAAGGTAGCAGGATACTTGGTCTTCAGGTATTTTGAGTGTTTTTGCAAGGGAGAGATTGGATTTCTGTGAGATTCCAAAGGACAGAGTTGTGACCAATGGACAGAAGTTATGAATTTGGTTCAGTTTAGGAATTTTCTTATAACAAGATCTGTTTGATGTGACAGGAGCTGTCTTTAGACATGTCATGTTCCCATGAACTAGAGGTATGCAGCTGGGGGCCCAAAACCAGTGTGAGCTCTAAGCTCTCCTCCAATCTCTCTAGCACCAACACTCAGCTTATTCATCCAACTTTATTGGGCAGAATTGGGACCCAGGGGCAGAAAGTCTAATGGGCCAGGGAGATTCAGTAGATCTGACCTTGAGGTCAGGAGGCAGAGGAAATTACTCTGGCCTCTAGAACATTCCTGGGAGGCCCAAACTCTTGGGGACCAGTAGAGTATAGGCCACAGCTTGAGTTTAGAGGAGAAGAGGAGAACAGTGAAGTCATGGTCAGTGGCTCCCCAAATATGAGAGTTTTAGTATTTTTTTTAGGCCCAAACACTTCAGTTCTGAGCGGCCCCTTACAGGAATTCCTCATGCCCTCCAAACCCAACCTTCCCAGTCAGGGACTAGCACACCTTTTTCCCCTTTGCACCTTATGTCTTTGCCTTCTGGGACTCCTTTCTTTCCTGGGCCAGAGTGGTTTATCTGTTCCACGTGCATGGACAGCTGATAACCTATCACAGCCTTCTTTCCACCTGCATCTGCCTGTCTCCAACCCAGGATTTTTCCCCTTCTTGTGTCTGCCAACCCTCGGGTTTCAAACTCGCCTTCTCTGGGAAGCCTTCCATGATGTCAAGTCCATTTCCTGAGTATATAGTAAGTCTCCTGAAGCACTTCAGCTTTGGTTCCATAATGCTACCACTCATCGCTAGGAGTCTGTGGGTCCCTTGTAGCTGCCTTGTGTTCTAATGCCCTGTGTCTCCTGTCAGCATGAAAGACCCAGATGACAATCCTCAGGTCTTGCTGGGTTCTTTGCCTGTCTTCACTGGGCCAACCGCATTAAGTCTTAGACACTGTCAGAACTGGCCAACCTGCATGCCCTCTGAGGCAGAGGCTTCTTTTATTGAGGGGGTGAGCAACCATCCTGGTTTGCCTGGGACTAAAGGAGTTTCCAAGATGCATAACTGACTTTTGATGCTAAACTTGGGATAACCCCAGGCAAACCGAGATGAGTGGATCATCCTAATCAGGTACTTGCATGTTTAGACATGATGCTTGGTGCTGTGGGAGCACAGAGGGGAAGCAGATGAGACTCTCATGCTGGAGAAATTTGTAGTTCAGGCATGGAAAAGGGAGAACTTTTTGGAAAACTACGAACTCAGAAGGCTTAGTGCCCACTGCCTGCTCCCCTCCACAGCCTCATTCTGTGCGCTCGTGTGTCTGCGCGCACGTGTATGTGTGCACGCGCACGCACACGTGCTCGTGTGTATTGGATGGGACAGTAGATCATTAGGCAAGTGCCTAGGCTAGCCCTGTATAAGCATGAACTGAGAGGTCCTGGCCCAAAGAGTTTAGTGGAGGATGTCCCCATGTCTCCCAGCTCTATCCCCACTGCCATCATTAGCCTCAGAACACCTAGGCTGATGGGCAACAGGTTGGAACTCACTCATTGCTGCTCTTCCTTCTCTCCCACAGACACCTGTCTTGCACCTGGAGAT